TATATTATATATATTTTTTCCTTTTGAACATTCTGCATTAAATGAGAGGAAATCAGCCCTCTGAGCTTTAAGGACCTGATGATGTGTACCTCTAGATGCCCATTCCTATAGGAGAACCAGACAGCCATCATTTCCTGTGTAATTACAAAACTGGATTGTAACACTGCCTGGGCTTAGATAATTTACGGAAGCAAAAAAAAAAAAAAGGAAGCAGTACAGAGATTACAGTAGCAATTGTTCCAAAAGGAAAAGAAGCAACAGTGAAACTAAATGTCTTAGGAGAAATCCTTTCAGTGTTGTGCAATGTTTCATTCGCTGTTTAAATCCACCCCGTTCCCATCCCCCATGAAAACAAAGTGATCTTCATGTTACAGGACCACTGATTCATGCTTCAGATTCCTTGTCCTTTAATTAGTCGGTGAAGGCGCATGACAGCGATACTGCTTTTTGATCGCCGCATTTAAATAGCTGTTGTCGAAGGTAACCCCCCCATTCCATCCCCACATTTCGAGGCCATACAGAAAAAGAGAAAATAAGAGGAGGGGAATATAATGAGGAGGCAACTCTAACGCCCGGCAGTAGATTCACTGGGACATTTAAAAAATGCGTTCTTAAGAAAAAAGTTTCGTTTAGGGATGTTGCCTCTGATTCCTCTGCGCGGTTCCAGTCCGGGTCTTGGAGCCGGCCCTCGAGGGGAATGTCCGGGACTCGGGTCGGTACCTTTTTGGCCTGGGAATTTCCAGTGTGCAGAAAAAAATCCACAAACCTAGTCCTCGCTGCCCCTTCCCCGCCTCCTCGGGCCCCCTCGGTGCCCACGCAACCCCGCTCGAGCGCGAGGATGACCGTGTTCTGTATCTAGAAAACCGGCTCTGGCTTCCCCGCCCCACTGCTCTCCGCGGGGCGAGCGGCAGGCGAGCGCTATAAAGGGGCGGGCGAGCGGGCCGGCTCCTGCTGCCCGCCAGACGGCGGCGCGTTCTTGGAGCACAGGCTGCCCAGCTGCCCCTGGTCAGGTAACCTCAAAAGGAAACTGCTCATCTGCCTCATGCTGTCACGTACTTGGGTTATTACCGCTGATTACAGCTGGAAACAATTGATTTGCTTTTACGTATTTGTAAGACTTGACTCTTCAAACACAAAGGTATATTTTTATTATTTGATATTTAATATGAAAAAGTATCTTAAATGCTAACTTTTCCCCCCACCTTTCCTCTTCCCGTATTCAGATTCTTTCCTTTGGAATCACTTTCTGATGTTTGAATAGTCATACCTGCTTTGGGACAAACTATTGGGGGACAGTTTTTTGGGGAAAGAAAATCTGGGATGTTTTTATAGTCAGTAATGGCAAGAATCTTGTCTGTTTGCCTTAAAGGCCCAGGAAGGACTGAGATGCTGATGGAGGAGGTGGATAGAATGGGTGATGAAGTAGCGTAAATCTCATGTAACAATTTATCTTTAGTCTGTGATGTAGAACTGAGATACCCCAAGGCAGAAATCTCCCAGGAGGTTTGATGTGTGGGTTTAGAGATGTACTTTCCCACCAAAGGTAGGCATGAAACTGTATCTTTATGGAAAAAAATATATAAGTAAATTGAAATATTTTATAGTGTGCCCTCATTCATTCTTGTATTACTTGCTATAAAGTTAAAATTTATGAATGAGGGAAACCTGAAATTTGATGATCAGCATGCCAGCCAAATAATAGTTTGTTTTAAATATATATTTCCCATTATAATTATAAAAGACATAACTTTTAAAAACTATAAAATGTAAAAGAAGAAAAATCTATGGATAAAATCCATAATTCTATCATCTGAATGCAGTGAACATTAGCATTATGGTATTGTTTTTGCAGGTTTCTTAACTACATATTGGTAATGATAGAAAATATGTAATTTGGATATGTTTTTTTACTTAACATACATATTTTTTCTATGTTAGTCTTCATAACTTAATTATAAAGGTCTTCCTAATAGCTCTGCTAATGGTGTTATCATTATCAGATAAGTTGGTCACTGTGGTTGGACATTTAGGCTTAAAATATTAAAACAGTAGTATATATAATTTCATTGAATTAAATATGAATTTTTATTTTGGGATGATAGTATTTAACTTAGTGAATCTCATATTCCAGAACTCAAATGATTGATTTGATGCTATTTGTGAAAGGGAGAATCCATAGTAAGAACCATCTATGCAAATTATATTTTATAGAAGTTATCCTATTAAGAGTAATTTTTCTTCAGCAAATACAAAACAGACCTTTGGTGTTCTAATATGATAAATTTTGCCATTCTGAACAAACATCATTTTATTAAATACCACTTGACTGATACTTCCTGTCTTCAGTTATTAGATTTCAGATTAATAAATCAGAGTACTTGACAAGAATAAATATGGTAAGCTTTTACATATTCATGTGTTACATGCCAGAAATGAGTCTGTTTCTAGACCCTGTTAAGGAAATGGCAATCACTGAGAGAGGTATAAGGAAATAAATCCCCAAGGGAAACAACAGAAAAGAGCCTCCCCAACCCTCCAAAAAAACTGCTCAGCATTTTCTTTGTGGTTTTGGGTAAATTCAGCTTTTTTACATTAACTAGTCGCTAATGCCAGAAATTCCATTTTAAGTATATTTATTTTCTTGTGTTAAGCATTATTCAACCCAGGGTTTATGTCTACAATGCAATCAGTGCACTCAGAATGCCTAACACCTTAGTGTGCAATGAATAAATAAGATTTCAAAGTTGCCATTTTTCACTTTGAAAGTGAAACCACAGCCCCTGAGTGCTAAAGGCACCTGGGAATTTGGGAGCATGGGGATGGGGTGGTGGGGGAAGATAAGAGGATGGTTGAGGGCAGAAGTTTGTACAACACAGAGGATAGGAGAGTACAAAATGCATGTTACCAACTTCAATCTAACTTGCCTCTTAAAAGTGCACTTACATTTTTACTTTTTTAAAAAGTGTGAACTTGGCCGGGCGCGGTGGCTCACGCCTGTAATCCTAGCACTCTGGGAGGCCGAGGCGGGCGGATCGTTCTGAGCTCAGGAGTTCGAGACCAGCCTGAGCAAGAGCGAGACCCCCGTCTCTACTAAAATTAGAAAGAAATTAATTGGACAACTAAAAATATATAGAAAAAAAAATTAGCCGGGCATGGTGGCGCATGCCTGTAGTCCCAGCTACTCGGGAGGCTGAGGCAGAAGGATTGCTTGAGCCCAGGAGTTTGAGGTTGCTGTGAGCTAGGCTGACGCCGCGGCACTCTAGTCCGGGCAACAAAGTGAGACTCTGTCTCAAAAAAAAAAAAATGTGAATTTATATATATTATATATATTTTTTCCTTTTGAACATTCTGCATTAAATGAGAGGAAATCAGCCCTCTGAGCTTTAAGGACCTGATGATGTGTACCTCTAGATGCCCATTCCTATAGGAGAACCAGACAGCCATCATTTCCTGTGTAATTACAAAACTGGATTGTAACACTGCCTGGGCTTAGATAATTTACGGAAGCAAAAAAAAAAAAAAGGAAGCAGTACAGAGATTACAGTAGCAATTGTTCCAAAAGGAAAAGAAGCAACAGTGAAACTAAATGTCTTAGGAGAAATCCTTTCAGTGTTGTGCAATGTTTCATTCGCTGTTTAAATCCACCCCGTTCCCATCCCCCATGAAAACAAAGTGATCTTCATGTTACAGGACCACTGATTCATGCTTCAGATTCCTTGTCCTTTAATTAGTCGGTGAAGGCGCATGACAGCGATACTGCTTTTTGATCGCCGCATTTAAATAGCTGTTGTCGAAGGTAACCCCCCCATTCCATCCCCACATTTCGAGGCCATACAGAAAAAGAGAAAATAAGAGGAGGGGAATATAATGAGGAGGCAACTCTAACGCCCGGCAGTAGATTCACTGGGACATTTAAAAAATGCGTTCTTAAGAAAAAAGTTTCGTTTAGGGATGTTGCCTCTGATTCCTCTGCGCGGTTCCAGTCCGGGTCTTGGAGCCGGCCCTCGAGGGGAATGTCCGGGACTCGGGTCGGTACCTTTTTGGCCTGGGAATTTCCAGTGTGCAGAAAAAAATCCACAAACCTAGTCCTCGCTGCCCCTTCCCCGCCTCCTCGGGCCCCCTCGGTGCCCACGCAACCCCGCTCGAGCGCGAGGATGACCGTGTTCTGTATCTAGAAAACCGGCTCTGGCTTCCCCGCCCCACTGCTCTCCGCGGGGCGAGCGGCAGGCGAGCGCTATAAAGGGGCGGGCGAGCGGGCCGGCTCCTGCTGCCCGCCAGACGGCGGCGCGTTCTTGGAGCACAGGCTGCCCAGCTGCCCCTGGTCAGGTAACCTCAAAAGGAAACTGCTCATCTGCCTCATGCTGTCACGTACTTGGGTTATTACCGCTGATTACAGCTGGAAACAATTGATTTGCTTTTACGTATTTGTAAGACTTGACTCTTCAAACACAAAGGTATATTTTTATTATTTGATAT